AAGTCTTCTGTTGTCCTGGAAGTTCCTTGATGACCCAAATGCCCTAGAGCCATGAAAGGAAGAGTTCAAAAGTTTGGGTCCTCTTCCGGAGCCCCTACAGTCTGAGTATGGGAGGACCTTCTTCTTCTGTTCAATCTCAATTAGAATACCTTCCATCTTGTCCCCAATGAGCTTGGAACCTTTGAAGGGATGACACTAAGGCTTTGGGTGAAGTGGCCACTGACCAGTTTCTCAGCCAGAGGTTGCTTCACGATAGCACGGATGGACCTTGCAAAAAACTGCAAAGTGCTCGAAGTAGCATCAAGCTACAAAAACCATGACCTTCTCTAACATCTGGAGGTAGGAAGTCAATTTAGGAGGGATATCAGCCAAAGGTATGATGCATGGGCTAGAAAGGAAGAAGCAGCTGAAACCTTAATAGAGAGGGCACAAGCCTCATGGGCTCTGTGAAGGGCTACATTGCTCCTATGGTCTGCAGCCTCCTTAAGTGCCCCTCCCCTCTACTTAGGAAGGTCCAAACTGGCACCATATCAGCCAAAGGAGCATCCACCACAGGAATACGCAAAATATTGTCGGTTGAAGCTGGGAGGGCATAGTGCTTCTTGGCCTGAGCCACATGGAACCTGGGATGAACAGGCGCTTCCCACTCATCTCTCACTTCCTGGATGAAGATCTTAGGGAAAGGGAAGATAGAGCCTGCTCCTCTAGATCTGGACATAACCTCCTTGTCTCCCGCTGAGTCAGGATCCCCCTTCCTCCTGACGAGGAAGATCTGCTGCAGGAGTAGATAGTTTTAGGATCTTTAGAGCAGGGGCAATTAATGCAGATAAGTACTCAGTAGCAAAAAAAGCCTCTTGGGCTTCAGAGGAGGTAGGAAGTCAATTTAGGAGGGATATCAGCCAAAGGTATGATGCATGGGCTAGAAAGGAAGAAGCAGCTGAAACCTTAATAGAGAGGGCACAAGCCTCATGGGCTCTGTGAAGGGCTACATTGCTCCTATGGTCTGCAGCCTCCTTAAGTGCCCCTCCCCCTCTACTTAGGAAGGTCCAAACTGGAACCATATCATCCAAAGGAGCATCCACCAGAGGAATATGCAGAATATTGTCGGTTGAAGCTGGAAAGGCATAGTGCTTCTTGGCCCGAGCCACATGGAACCTGGGATGAATAGGCGCTTCCCACTCATCTCTCACTTCCTGGATGAAGATCTTAGGGAAAGGGAAGATAGAGCCTGCTCCTCTAGATCTGATCTCCTCATCTTCCGCTGAGTCAGGATCCCCTTCCTCCTGACGAGGAAGATCTGCTGCAGGAGTAGATAGTTTTAATGCAGATTTAAAAAGCCTCTTGGGCTTCGGAGGAGAGGATTGATCCTCATTACTGATCGAACCTTCTTCCTTTCTGGACAGGTCAGGATCTCGATCAAAGAGAACACAGGAATTAGCCAAATTTGGTGAATAGTCTACTTGTGAGTAATATGCAAAGGACAATGCTTTTTTCCACCCTTGGTGAGGACATTGGACAGATCCTGCCCCTGACTCCATGGGGTGTCTCCTTGTGCTGCTTAGATCTACTGGATTGCTTCCATGGGCTGGCGAAGGGGAGGAGTGATGGCGCGGTTGCTGCAATCCATTTTATCCGTAGCCCCTTCTATAAAAGATTCCAACCACTGTTGGAAGACCTCTGGGATTCCTGGGGGGGAGGGTCAAGGCTCTCCTTCTCCAGCTTCATTGTATCCTTGCTCAATCCTACTGTAGGGGAGAAAGAGGCAGATGTTTTGGCCGAGGAGGAAAGAGAACAATGGGGAAGATAGAGCCTGCTCCTCTAGATCTGATCTCCTCATCTTCCGCTGAGTCAGGATCCCCTTCCTCCTGACGAGGAAGATCTGCTGCAGGAGTAGATAGTTTTAATGCAGATTTAAAAAGCCTCTTGGGCTTCGGAGGAGAGGATTGATCCTCATTACTGATCGAACCTTCTTCCTTTCTGGACAGGTCAGGATCTCGATCAAAGAGAACACAGGAATTAGCCAAATTTGGTGAATAGTCTACTTGTGAGTAATATGCAAAGGACAATGCTTTTTTCCACCCTTGGTGAGGACATTGGACAGATCCTGCCCCTAACTCCATGGGGTGTCTCCTTGTGCTGCTTAGATCTACTGGATTGCTTCCATGGGCTGGCGAAGGGGGGAGTGATGGCGTGGTTGCTGCAATCCCTTTTATCCATAGCCCCTTCTATAAAAGATTCCAACCACTGTTGGAAAACCTCTGGGATTCCTGGGGGGGAGGGTCAAGGCTCTCCTTCTCCAGCTCCATTGCATCCTTGCTCAATCCTACCGTAGGGGAGAAAGAGGCAGTCATGTTTTGGCAGGAAGAATACATGCCACCTCTCTGGCACTCACTGCCACCTTGTCCCTTACCTGACTCACCAAGGAGGAGGAAAGAGGAGAGCAATGGGGGGGGGCTCAATGACCCAATCTAAAGCCCTTAGAGCTCAGCCAGGCACACAGCCTGGCTCCCCTGCTGTTTCTTAGCAGCACTGCAGCATCCTTGGGCTCCACTGAGCCTAGCACATTGCTTTAATGGCTTTGCTAGGTAGGAGAGATCGCTGAAGGACAAGCGTTGCAAAACAAACTGCTAGACTTCAAAACAGAGCTCTGAAACCAAAGCACTTATGAGCTCTCCAAAAGCCCACCTTCTTCATTTGCAGGAAGAGAAGACTGAAACTTCTCCCTTGCAGAACAGCAAAGCTGGACTTCCTGCCACCAACAGTAGAGGGAAGAGAGTTCCCCACTCATCTGGGTCTCCTTTTCCTTCCAAGGGAAAACGGGCAAATTCAATAATTGTCCATACATACACATGCATCTTCTATTGCAGCCCCTACCTTGTGGAATAGTTTGCCTGAGGAGATCAGGAAAGCTCCCACACTTCTGTCATTCCACAAACTGTGTTCAGGAGGACATTTTTATAAAGGAAATAGGGCTATATTATAACAGAATGGTTAAGGAGGGTGCATTAATAAAGAGCACAGGATTGTGGACTATACTACTGCAGACAGTATATATAATCTGCTTGCTACGTGTATTACATCCTGCTTCCCCAGAGCATCTCCTGCTTATACTAAACAATGCAAAAAATTGTATTGCATTTCATGTCATACTTCTTCCTTTGCTTCAAATTTCTGTAATCCTACCCCAACTGCATTGCTTATTAGATATAGCACCCTACTGATTAAACTGATTTACACTGTGTAATCTGCCTTGAATCTCAGTGAAGACTATAAATAAACAAGAAGGGGGCCCCCGAAACACTCGCGGGGGGGGAGACACTCCACGGGAGGAGAAGCAGCCGCAGATGAGCCTCCCCTCCCCCCCCCATCCCCAGGCACCCACAGCGAGGCCGGACCTCGGCCTGCCAAGCTTCCCCCTCCCCTAGCAGTGGCACCTCACTGGCCCACCAAACTCCCCCCACACAGCGTTGGGGAGGCTTTGCCAGCCCGCTGAGCTTTCCCCCTTCCCCTCTTCCCCCCTCAGCAGTAGTGGCATCAAGGCCTCGCTAGCCCACCAAACTTCCCCCCCCCGGCAGCATCGGCGAG